TGGCACATAGAGCAAGTATGCCCGTCGCGAAGGACTGCGACAGGGTGGATGTTTGTCACCTAGTTACATCGGTAGACAACCAGGTGAATCCCTTTAGGATTGGCTTTCCGGCAAAAGCGGATGATGGCCATGTTAAAGGATTTGGGAGTCGGATATATGGCAGAAAGGACAACAGTTCTTTGATAATTGGGATTGAAAGAGAATCGTGGTTAGCAATTTCCATGAGCTTATTAAGCATTAGTGGGAGACTGTTAGAGGTATGCTGTAAAGCTATGTTTTGCAGAATCTATCAATTCTATTTGATCTGGCCATCATGTTTCGGTCAAAGTACATATGCTTGCAGTTTATTTATTTATGCAATCATACTCCTTGTCTTACATTGAGATAGTGTGGTTCGAAGTGTTTCAAACAGAAAGATCACCTATCGGTTCCTTGTAAGACTAAACTATTCGTTCACAGTCTAGACAGGCAGTGAGACCCCTCTGTTGGAACCCATGAGGATCTCGATATGCACAAATCACGGACAAACATTCAACATAAACCTATGCGCAGCGGATCTAAAGGTTTGATGAAGAAAATTTACTGCTTAAAATTTATGTAGATCTGGCTGGCCGAACAGTTGACCGCAAATCAAATCTTCTCAGAATCGAACAAACTTGACCAATCCAGCAAGCTGACGTCACGACGAAGTCAACGGCGTTGACCGATCGGAAATCGGGGTTCTCACGCGCTCTCACACGCGATCACAAGCTCCAAAAGCTGCTCCCTTCCGGCGGCGCGTGCGGGCGCGTGCGGCGGCGGCTGGCGGCGATCTCGACGGCGATCTCTCCGGCTCGTCATCCTGGTCGTCGTGGTATGGTCACTTGCTGGTTTTGGTCTCCGGTTTGGATGTATGATAGATCTGATTAGAATCCCGTATATACCTTAAGATCTTCTACTGTATTCTCAAACAGCTATCTAGAACTTGTATCACTGGTGCACAAGAAATATAACTACTCCTAGGAAGAGAGAGAGAGAGGGGGCGGACGATTTTTCCAAATTATGGAATTCTTCACTTCTTCCATGAGCCTAATGCTGTATATATAGAGCTACAGTAGGGACCCTAAGGAGAATAGGATAAGGGTTTCTAATATATTAATACTATGGAGCAACCCCACAATTAATATATTAATAATATTAAAGTCCACCACAATAATATTATTGCACTCCCCTCACCTATCCCAAATTACATTTGAAACTCCTTATTATGATTATCCGATTTACCTCCCCATGTTTAAGATATAATGTCCATTAATTAATTCGATCACTAATAATCATGAATTAATTAATATATTATATTACCAAAGCTAGCGCTCGCTCATAGCATTCATATT